AACCAGGCCGAAACCGATAAGGCTGGAGGTCCCCGCGCTTGAGGGAAGAAAGGAGAGAGCCTTCACTTGTGGGTCCGTAAGGTGGAGATCGCCATGAAGGCGGGTCGCATCTCGGGCGAGCCACTTCGGGTGGCTTTAGCTCTGTCGAGCCTTGGTGGACGTGCCAAGCACTGGGCATACACCAGGGAGACGTACGTCTCCTGGATGCTTTGCATCCTAGGCTCAGCGGTGTGAGCAGTTTCGAGACGCGTTCCTACCGGCGAACAACGAGTTTCTCCAGCGCTTGCTCTTTCTCGCGTGTAAGCAAGGTAAACTTGAGTTGCAGGAGTACGTGCAAGAGATGCGCACGTTGGTGGTATCTCTGGCAGGGAATCCTCTGCCTGAAGACACCCAGACAACAGTCTTTACGGATGGCATGAAGGTCGGTCCTCCTCGCACCCAGCTATTCCGGGTGCAAACGCAAACGATGGAGAAGGCGATTCGAATCGGCCTTCAAGAAGAGTACAGCCACAAGCAGGCTGGTACTCCTCGGGAGGCGGAGCATCGCAGCAATGGCGCTGTTGATCCTGCTGTCACGCAGCCCGTTGATACCAGTCCGCGAGCCCGAGCCCATGACTTAAGCTCAGCCGAGAGCTTAATCCGCTGCTACGGATGCGGCGGACATGGACACTACCAGTGTGTATGTCCCTCGCCAACCCTCGGAAAGCAGACACCCCGTGGACCCCAGGTCCGGTGGCGCAGGGACCAAATGGCGAAGGCTCCCCGGCCACCAGTAGCCGTGGTACTGCCTACTGAAGAGCGCTAAGTCTTCGTGATGGATGTGCAGATTGTGCGCACCACGGGACTTAGCCCAGAGGCGTGGTTGTCTCAAATCGGTGATTGGCAGTAATGAGCGGCTGGTAGTAAACTCGGTGAGCGGGGATACAGTACCTCTTGAGCGTTCGATGAGATCTCAGGCGTTGATACGCCGCCGGAACGTCGCTTGGCATACCGACACCCAACTGCGCTCTATGTCAGAGTGGCGGTCGTGGGCTGAACGTTGGTGACCTAGCCTTTGGTACGGTGAAGGAGGTACCCGTGGTCCTCAGCGGATCTGAACGTTTGGGCTCGATGGGCTCGCGCACCACGGTGTTGTTCGCAGCTCTCGCCATGAACAACATGGCGGTGCCGAACATAAAGCACAGCCCGGACTTTGGTGTGGCAAGGCTGGGAGGGGCCTACCAGTCCAGGTCTATGGCGGAGCATTGGTGAGTCATGTTCCCACCTCCATCATATCTTAGGCGTCTGATACAGACTTCCAGGACGCAGAAGCGTCACGGAGTTGTCGACGCGCGTGACAGCTTTGCGTACAGCCAGACCATGCTCCGCTGCGGCAATGCCACGGGTATGGGTCTTTTGCTCGGCGTGTGGACCTGATACAGCAGCAGCGTCCAACGCCGTCGCACCGTACGGGCTTGGAAAGTGGTTATGCCAATTAGCGCTAACCAGGTGGGTACCTTAGGTCCACACGGTTGCCCAGATCTTAACTGAAGAGGAAGACGCGCGCTTCCTGTGCGTACCACACGCAGTCGCCCAGACTATAACTGAAGAGGAAGGCAATGACCATGCTTCATGTGTGGGTAACACAGTGCCACACGAGGTCTCGAGTGCCTCTGATGTCGTCAACTAGACATCACGACGTGGGTAACGAAGTGCCACGTCACGTCAGCCGCCGCAAGTCGGGTCTTAACCTTGTTCAGGTCGACATCGCTTCAATTGATTCGGCGTCCAGGGCCCGGACTTCTCTGACTCGGTCGGTGGACACCAACTCTGTCCGGTGTGTGTGGGTCTGCCACACCAGCCGATCCCAACACCGAAGGTCGTCGCGCCGTATGCGCTTCGACAGTGGTGGTGCCGAAGGGCATTCACCAGGTGGGTAACATAGGTCCACATTGCGGGTAACAGGTTCCGCAAGCAGTGAAGCTGCTTAAGGAGACCGACGTTCGGTGCTCCGAGCGTGGGTAACAAAGCTCCACGCATGGTACCTTAGACCGTAGTAGATAAGAAAGTCGCTGTATGCGCTTCCGGTGTGGGTAATAGCGTTTCATCATCATGGCGGGTAACACAGTTTCGCAACTAAGGTGAGTAACAGCGCTCTACAGTATAGGCGTGTAACATAGTTCTACCACGGGCTGGATGTCTTCGCTTGGCACGTCCGCCGTGGCCGTCCATGCCGGCGCAGTGCACGAGGCGGATAGCGGTCGTGCCAGCCAATGGCTATCACAAGCCACGAGAGACTCAGTAGTCTGAGGGTTAAGTGGAGGATACTCGAAAATAAGCTTGCTTCCCTTACTTTCCACGAGGCAGGTAGCCGTCGTGCTGCCAGTGGAATCACAAGCCACGAGAGGCTCAATGATCTCAAGTGTAAGATGGGGAGAGGCTTGAAAATAATTCTCCTCCCTGGTCTTCAGGTAAGACTAAGTTTGTTACGGAACCAGGCATTGGTGTGCATCGACTGCAGGCTGGAGTTGAACAGCCGGGCTAGAGCTGCAGTAGCTCTAGCCAAACAAGACAGAGTGGCGACAGAGGCCACTGACGCTAGGGCCCTCGGAATCGATGAGCGAATCAGCAGTGCTGTGGTTGCATGCAACCACCTGAGGCGAAGCGCGGACCTGGTACAATCACCGCACAGGCCTCTTTGTCATGAATGACCTGACGAGTAAGGTGAACCGAACGTCTCATCCGCTGACAAAGCGGTTGCGGTACGTGACGTACGCAACGCGCTGGGTATAATGAGCCGTGGAGCCATAACGCACGAGTGCACACACAGCTGACGAGGTGGTGGTCAAGGTAACGCACGCAGTCGTAACTGGTGCCACGCCGAACATGACACCGTGGTGATGGCTGCTTGCCTCACCACGGTTTGGTACCCGTGCGTACTCCGTGTCAATACCAGACACCAACGCCGCAGTGGCATGGTGGTGAGATATACCCACCACAGTCGGTTAGATCAATGTACATGGTGTCTATGACAGACCCTGGTATGGGTGCAAACAATTTGCGCCATACCACGAGCCGATGCTGCTCTAGTCGAATCCGCTGTGAGTCAATGCACGTACCGTGCATCAGCACTGGCTGCCGTCGAGCAGCCTGCCGGGAGCTCCGCGTAATAAACTCGTCGTGCATGACACACATGAAGTGCACGGAGCACTTATGGTAGCTGGGGTACGTGTCGTACACATCGTACCTGGTGTACGGGCCCATGGACCTGTCCACTTTGCTTGCACATGCGTCGTGCATGATGCGAGCACTGGTCATGAATCAGTTCAGGCGACAGCAAGCAGAAGCTGTTGCCGTCACACATGGCAACCTTGTGGTGGGCGTGCCGCACCAAAGGTAAGTACCGGAAGGTACATGGTGTCGATGGGAGACACCTGCACCACGACTGAGTATCATCACAGTACACGGTGTCGATGAAGGACACCTACGTGCCGTTGGTATGGCGACCAAGACGCGAAGAGAAGCGTGACAAAAGCTCCGCTCGCAAGGATGGATCCTTGCTGAGGCATGGCCCGAGGTGAGCTGAGAGATCCCTCTCGTGCTGGGGTAGATGTCGTCCCTCGCGGAAGACACCATGCTCCGGACGTGTTCGCGAAGACTGTCGTGACCTCTGGTGCGAACAGTGGGCAAATGCCACACGTTCGGATGCTATTGCACACTGCGCCGAAGCACTGTACACACGCTAGCGCAGGAGCTAAGGAAGTTCTGAGTGTATGCTTTCAGGACAACACAGTTGTAACCATAGGGATGCAAATCCCATTGAACCTTGGGAGCACAAGTCACTATGGATATGACAGAGAGCCGCGACAGTCTCGTGGCTGCTCAGTGTGAGAATTCACCTTTTAGTGTTGTAATTTTCCTACTTCTGATTGGAGAATCAGGTGATTCTGAGGAGGATGTAACGGAGTACAATCCAGTGTACCCCAGGTTACATAAAGAGTGACCCACCACTCTTGTGGACACCTGGTACAAGGTACCATGTGCTCTAGGAGCACATGGTACCGTGGGATCTATACAAACTACAGGCAACCTATACTTTGTATAGATCCCAAGGTAAGCTTCCTTATAAATAAATCAGTCTTACATCTACTCTTCTAAGTAGCAAACTGCTCCTCTGAGGCCCGGAACACGTGAGCTAACGTTCACTCGGGTAGTAAATACTTCTTCTGTGCAAGGTGCTGTGTGACCGATAGACTACTGAGCTTTAATAAAACCCACTTAAGTACTTTACGGTCCAGAACAAAAAGGAATTCGCAAAACGTCATTTTCCGACGAGCAACGCATAAAGCTCGGAAATCGGTGCTGTCTCCCGGGTAGAAGCAGGCAAAATGGAAAATGCGGTGTGTTACCAACTGGTACTGTAGGACACTATTAAAAGGCGATGCTGACACAAACGAAAGCGATTGGTCTAAATTGGATTTTGAGTGCTGAATCGGCAGGTGGCATTTTTGCTCACATACCACCGGATTGGTCACACAAAACAACCAAATCAACATTTAATGTCTCCTTTACATCGATCGAGTCCTTTTTCCACGGTAGCGTCATCGATCTCGCCGAAAGATCACTCCTATCTGTGATGTTTACCTGAAGAAAGCCTAAATTGGTGGTACACGTACGGTAAAGAGTTCGTTGGTTCAGCGGTTGTCAGATTGCAACATGCAGCATGTATCCTTATAGTAGCGTAATCTTCAACTCCAGATCCTCAAACTGTGCGTGTTCCTTCCATCCAACCCACTCGCT